ATGCACATGGGGCCAGGAGAGCTCTGCTGGTTGCTGCAGCATCTGTCTCCTGGCCCTGTGCACATCAGGAGGGGTCCTGACATGCATGGCACTGAAAGCCAGCTGCTACTGCAGAATTCTTCTGGTCCCATACACATAGGGACAAGCCCCGTGCCCAATGGGGCTTCCCCATGTAGCTGGGGGCTGGTTGGGAGCTGCCCCAGAAGCAGCACAGCTCCCAGACAGCCCCCAGCTGTGCAGGGAATCAGAGAGCTCTCCAGTCCCAGTGCTGCTTGGCTCCCAGCATCTGTGGGGAGCCAGAAGCTGAGCAATGCCAGGACTGGGGGAGCTCCCTATCCCCTGTCGCCCCCTGGTGTTGGGCCTGACCAGGAACAAATTTGCTGTTAGTCAGCATCTACACATGCGTTAGTTAGTTAACTACCTGTATTTACAGGTAATAGCTAACTGCACAGTAGACTATTTACTGTACAGTAAATGGTGCATGCATGTAGATGGTGACGCTTTACTACACAGTAGATTAGTCTACTGTGCAGTAAAGCATCTCATGTAGACACGCCCACAAGCTAGCTTAATAATGTATATAGAAAGCATAAGCTTTTGTGAACTTGAGCATCTGATGCAGTGAACCTGAGTTCACAAAACCATATGTTCTCTATATACCTTATTTACTTAGTCTGTGAGGTGCATCTCTACCCTGCCTTCAGAATGACTATAAGCCAATACATATATTTCTCTTACTCCTTCTCAAAGGAGCTCTAACTCTACTAATCCAAATCATCTCTTTCCTCCCCAAAATCACTTGGTTTACTACATGCATTTTCTTTAAAGATCTTCAGAAAAGCAAAATGCCAAGTTATTTAACCACTAAAATGTATGCCATACAAATTATAATATATAAAGGTATTTTTTTACAGTGAAGGAGAACTGCTGGCAACTTCTTGAAAATATTTTAATTAAGCAATGATCTCAGTCTCATAAGTATCAAACCAAGTTTTTCCCAGTAGTACAGCAGTTCACTAGTCATGTAGCCAACCAATACTGCAATATAAAAAACACTCATTTCTAACTCCTATGCGTACCGACATTAGTCCCAAGCTTTAAACTACACTTCTCACAGAACTTTTGTTGTAATGGATGCTGTTCTGACGAATGCCAAAAATATTGCGAAGAAAATAAGAATCATTATATGCATTCATTACCCTCCAAATAGGGATGCAACCTCTCAACCATAAAATGGTCTTATACATAGGTGTACCTACAAGATCCATGGGATCCTTGTCTCCAGAAATCCCTCAGACCTGTCCAGAAACCATTTGCTCAATAACTCAAACATGAGAGGGGTCATAACATCCTTCCTAAAAACATCCTCCTTAGAGGAAGAACCAGGACAATAGTTTTTTCCTTCATTAGTCTTCAGAGATTAGGATAGATATATACCTTCAGAGATTCTTTGTGGATAAGATACCCTCTTTTTACTTAGAAGTTTACTAGGAATCCCATTTTGCCTCTTTTCAGTTCCTCTTCCTTTCTCTCTCTCCTCAGTCCAATTCAGAATAAGATAAAAAAGAGCTGTATCAAATGGACTGGCATTTCAACTGACTAATCAGCGGCACAGTAAATGTTGCACATCTACATGTGTGCCCCTATTAAGTTAGAATAAACTAATTTGCTTGCGCACATGTACACACTGCCCCGGCTGGCTGGAGCATGCGGGTGCTTCAGTGCAGGGGCTGCCTGTTGGCTAGCCCTGCACTGAAAGTACCCTCATGCCCCAGCTAACCCCTCTGCAGCACAATGAGCTGGGGAGAGCAGCCCTGGGCTGGCAGGCTGACCCCCCAGACCTCCTGCCAGCAGGGACTGCTCCGGCCTGGCTCAATGTGCTGTTTGTCTGGGTGCATGTGCAGATGTAGCGTCCGGGAGCAATAAACTCTGAAGCAATAAGCTCTAGCATTTATTCATGCTCATTAATAGAATGAGTACTGCCAGACTGGTCAGTCCAGAATGCATCAGTATAATTTATGGATAAAAATTCTACCTTATGCAAGTATAATATAGCCACATGGAACAGAATGTGTCTAGCAAACTATTTTATATATATAAAAAAGAGAAGAGGATATAACGTGGGGGAATTAACAAGGAACTACTTGTTCACTACGACTGTAGACTGCATCCGCTAAAATACATTGCATCTAATTTAACCTGTGGCAAATAATACAAGAATCATCTGCCTTTAATTTGTATATATAGAAAGAACAAAGCTGCTCTTAGAGACCATATTTTTTCTGTTCATCAGGGAGAAAACTGAATTCATTCAGAGAAAATATACTAGATGCTACTTAATGTCTAAGCTAGATAACCACTATGTCTATGCTGATTAGCATTGTCTTCCATAACAAGGGGGCATCTAAATGCATCAGTCTCAAAACAGTCTCAAGACAAAACTACTGAAATTCACCCTCCTTAAGTCAGGAGTCCTGAGTGACTGGAACTGAAAATTTTTTAAAGAGTTGACCAATGAGCGCTCTGGAGTGTAAAGGTTTATTTTTACTAAGTCCTGAACTACTAGGGAAATTTAAGGGGACTGAAAGAAAACTTCCCACTCCAATAATTAAAATGATTAAAATGGGATAATATGACTAATCATAAAGCTTATGAGCCTGGCAAAATAATAGTTGATACACAAAGCAAGAAGGTAGTACAGACTACAGACAATTAATATAGGCTTATGGAAAATAAGACCTTTCAAAAACAAACTTGATATTTTTTTAATTATATTTGGTGGGTGAAATTTATAGTGTTGTTAGAATAAGGCTTTTGATTTGGTACCTCATAACATTGTGATTAAGAAAGAGTAACTACAGAAAATCAACCTGGCTTATATTACAAGCTGGCTAATTAATACCTCTCAAAATCTAACACTAAGTAGGGATCTGTTTCCTATTTGGTGCATTTGGGTATTATGGTCGGTCCCAGCTCCATTCTATTTAATATTTTAAGAATGACCTCACTGCACTTGAGCAAGACAGAGGTGATAGCAGTGGACAAAAGAAAGCATTCCAAACAGCTGTTTCAGTTTCCTTGTATTGAAGATCAAAGGTCTTTCTGAGCCTAGGCATGCTAAGGACTAATGTGGCTAGCATCAGACACCTTTGAATTTCCTACCCTGAATGACAACATAGCCATTTACAGCTGTGACAGCTAAAAGCTGCCTTTGGCATGAGTCTGGAGTGAGTCTCAAGTTCTTGCCTTGCAAGACATTTTAACTGGTCTGCCACTGTACAAAATGTAGACATCCATAGATGACTAATTCAGTCCATAGTTCAGAAGTGTTGCAAGATTCTACATTTATGCTAAGATTTCGTATTGCAACATCTACCATCTCCAGTTGACTTGAAGACTATATCCCATCTTGGTGAACAATGACCTGAACTCAGTTAATCAAGCCATTTGGCTTGACTATAGCAATAAAATATATCTAGGGACAAAAGCCTTAGCACTTAGGAAACTCCAACTGGTACAGAACACTGCAGCAGGCTCTCTCAGCAACACAAGTTATCATGAACCTTGGACTTTTGTACACCGGTCAATTTATTGCAGAATAATAAATATGAGTTTGAAATGTTCGATGTCCTGGGTCCAGGGTATGTAAAGGATTGGCAAGCTCCAGAATGACAACTGTGGCAGACAACTTTGCTCCTTTATCCAACAGGACTTTTTACAAAGTTAAAGACTGTCTGTGAAGGAAAGACCTTTCTTGGGAGCTGGCTAAGCACTGTAGAAGTAAATTCCTTAGGAATGAGAGACCATCACAAACTTCACCATCTTCCAATTTAAGTGCAAGCCACATATCTTTGAGCTTGCCTGCTTTAACATATTGTAACATAGGCCTATATATTTTTAAAAATTCCAAACCAAATGACACTCCAGTACACAGACTTCTTTGGGGAGAAGATGTGAGGACAAATATTAGCTGTTTTATTGTGTGACAAATATTAGTTGTTTTATTATTGCACTAATGGAAAGCACCAAGATATCAGTATGAAAGATGTTGTGTAAGAACCTGCATAGAATAAAAGAAAATATATTGTTCTTACTAATAATATTTGAGAGGACATAAATGTAGAAGGAATGGTAAACAAAGAGGATAAGCTCCTGAAAAAAGTGAGAGAAAGAGAGAGAACTTGGTAAACTAATTATAAACCTACAGCATACATTTCAAGATGGCCAGAAATTATGTTATACATCTAGGGACAAAGAATCAAGGCCTTATTTACTGGATGAGAGTGTCTATCATGAGAAGCAGCAACTCTGAAGAAGAACTTGGTGGCTAGACGTGAACTCTCAATGCAACATCCAGACCAAAAGGGCTAATGCAGTCCTTAGGGTTATATATAATGGATTACTGTGTTGGAATAGGGAGGTTATACTATCCTTGCATTTTACACTGGTGTGATTGCTACTGGAATACTGTGCTCAGTTCTGAGCTTTATACTTCAACCCCCACAAAACAAAACAAAACAAAAAACCCAACCACTGAGGGAGCATTCAAAGAAGAGCAGGCAGAATTACTGAAGCGTTGGAAAACATATCTTTCACCGTAGGCTTAAGGAGCAGAATCTAGTTTAGGAGTGATTTGATTGCTACCTGAATACCTACACACAGGAACAGAAATCTGATAATGAAAAGTGTTTCAATCAAGGTATAAAAGGTGTAAAAAATTAATGACTGGGACTTGAAATAATCCACATTTTTAACAGTAAAGGTATTTAACTATTGAAACAAATTAGCAAAAGTTGTAATATAGTCACAGATGGAACTGGAAGACAGGTTGCCATTAAGGATCCTTAGTGCCAAAATTTTTGCCATTGTTCAGCATGTGTTACTGCCTATCACACATGTAATTACAAACAAGTCAAAAGTTCCAAACTAGCTTGCCAGTCGCAGAAAAGAGAATGACAATGGAAACAAAGGGAGCTTCAGTTTTGTTAAATGCTACTTACGCCAAGAGCAGCTTGGTAGGTGACCTCTGATGGGAAGGTAAATGAAGGCCCAGTTGTAACCGGACTGCTAGGGGGTGGGGTTACAATTAGCCCTGTGGTACTGATATGAACCTGTCAAAAAAAGACTGATGTCAATTTTAAGTAGTTCTTGTAAAAACAGATTGCCATGGTACAATAGCACAACTCAAGGTCATACCACTAGCATTCTGCTGTACCACCAATAGCAACTGCAGCAAGTACCTATGAGTTTCGGTTCGTAACTGGTATTGCATATTTGTAACTACCTTGCTGATTTTAGGCTTTATATGAAACAGAAATGAGCTTTCAGAAACACTAAATAAGAAGGAAAAGCATATTTTACCAATGTTTATTTTTCTTGAAATGGTGGTAAGCACGCAAAGAAATGTAAATGAAATACATTGGTCTGGTATGAAAACTCCATGTATAATTCTCCCAACATTTTTAAATGTTCACTACTGCATTGTCTGCATAATTTTCATCTTAACCATCAGAAATGGCATGTAGGCTTGTAAACACTTAAAGAATTCCTGAAGTTAAATCCTTTTCCTAGGTATGTTATTTAGTTTCAGCATTGTATTCAAATTGGGCTACAAAAATTAAACAAAATAGTTTAGTTTCTAGGTTTTCATCTATTACAACAAACATGGTGGGAGTTTTCTTTTCTTTGCTTTATAGCACTTCAGAAGCATATCTGAATTACAAAATCGTTCACTGAACTTATAATTAAGAAAATACTTGTATTCACACTGCAAAAGAACTTGTGAGTACAAAAACAAAATTTGGAATATAAACTAAGTGAAAAGTGTCCCTACACACACTCTTAAAAGGATACCATGTGCTTTTAAATCCTCTCTATTATGACAAAATAAAGTAAGGATCTGTAAAATGTGTAATATATATTTAATTTCTGGTAAAATACCTGAGAGGGGGCACTGCAGGAAAGGCCTGTTAGTTCACTTATACGGGCTGCTGCAGTAGGGTTGCTGGAGCTGATGAGGACAGGAGGACTAATTTCCATTGAGTGACGATTCTGAGAAGACTGTGAGGACTTATTGGACATGGTAAGGGAGGTAAAGGAATGTCGTTTTTTTGTGTTCTTCTTGGTATCAGTGTGCTTTTGCACTGAATTGTTGTGGGCTGCCCCCGAGGTACCTTCTCCAGAGTCTACAGCAGAACCTGAGGGCTTATCCAACTCTATCAGCTGCTTGGCTGCTGTGTTAAACTGAAAAAAAAAATCAATACATTAAGAAATTATTTTAGAAATCTTTAGTAGCAAGAAAAAAAGGTAAGCACTTGACTACAGATAGTGAAAACAGTACTCACCCTTTTCTTTCATAATTAGGAAATAAACTCAGAGGTTTGGAATCCAGAAGGATTTCTGCTGTATTGACATACTCTATGACTAGTAGACGTCCAGGTACAAGTCTTTCACTACAGCCTCAATGGATTTTACCAAGGACTGTGGTGAATTTTCCATGATGGGCAATTTGTAAGTCAGAAGGGGACATTTTTCTAAAAGGTGTGTTCTATTTTAAACAAGCATCAACACAAAGAGGTCTTTCACTTGGGTTATGTAAGAGGTCAGTAAATGATCACAATGGTTCCTTCTGACATTTTAGTACATGAATCTATAGCTCTAATCTTCCTGAATGCCCATTCCACTTTAAGCCATTTGATCTTTGTCTAGATCAGAAGAAGACTCTTGGGAAGCTGTTGCAGCCATTCATCCTAAAGCATCTTTACCTCTCTTCTGGGTTTCTTTAGCAGCATTAACAAGAAACATACTTTTCATTTTAACTCATCTATAACATCTTTTTATGGATATCCTATCCACTGAAACAAATTACACTATAATAAAATGGCAACTAAATGCCATTTCTTCAATATAGAAATACAGAATTCCGGGCATTTAAATGGTCTGAAAGTCAGGAAATAACACTAAAGAAAAGTTTTACATTTTATTTTTCTTAAAATCATATTATTAACTGCCAGGAAGGTCTATTTATAGTTCAAAACTACTGTATGTAGTCAGCATAAGCAATCACATTCATTCATGAGATAAAGCACACGTATAAATAGAATGCAAATGCATCTTTAAACATGTTAACTCATATTAATACTAATGCCTATTACAGAGTATAACTAATCTTTACTTGGGGAACAAGTTTGTAGCCAATTACAGGGGTGAAGAACCTTTTTCCTGAAGAATAAGCAAGGAGAAAAGATTTCATAGATTTTCATAGATTTCACAGACATCAGGGCTGGAAGGGACCTCGGAAGATCATCGAGTCCAGCCCCCCGCCCAAAGGGCAGGAAGTCAGCTGAGGTCATAGGATCCCAGCAAGATAAGCATCCAGTTTCATCCTGAAGGTGTTCAATGAAGGTGCTTGAACCACCTCTGGTGGCAGGCTGTTCCAGACCTTGGGGGGGGGACTGTAAAGAAATTCTTCCTTATGTCCCGCCTGAAACGATCTTGAAGTAGTTTGTGACCATTTGACCTCGTCATCCCTTGGGGCGCCCTGGTGAACAAACGTTCCCCCAGATGCTGGTGGTCACCCCTGATAAACTTGTAGGTGGCCATCAGATCACCCCTGAGCCTGCGCTTTTTCAGGCTAAAGAGCCCCAGGGCTCTCAGCCTGTCATCGTAGGGTCTGCTTCCCTGACCTCTGATCATGCGCGTGGCTCTTCTCTGGACTCTCTCAAGCTTCTTCACATCCTTTTTGAATTGTGGAGCCCAAAACTGGACACAGTACTCCAGCTGCGGCCTCACTAAGGCCAAGTACAGGGGGAGAATGACGTCCCGGGATTTGCTTGAGAAGCATCTATGGATGCAAGCCAGCGTTTTGGTCGCTTTACTAGCCGCCGCATCGCATTGCAGGCTCATGTTCATCTCGTGGTCAATGATGACCCCCAAGTCTCTTTCTTCCATAGTGCTAGCCAACATAGCACTGCTGAGCCTATAAGGATGCTGCGGGTTTTTTTTCCCAAGGTGGAGAACCTTGCATTTATCGGCGTTGAACACCATCAGATTCTCGTCCGCCCACTTGCTGAGCCTGTCCAGGTCAGCCTGGATAACCTGCCTGTCTTCTGGTGTGGATGCTTTGCCCCAAAGTTTGGTGTCATCGGCGAACTTGGCCAGTTCTGATCGCTTCTGACTCCAGTGTCCACATCATTAATGAAGATGTTGAACAGTATGGGTCCAAGGACAGAGCCTTGGGGGACCCCACTGGTCACAGGACACCACGATGAGTGACTTCCATCGATTACTACCCTCTGGGTCCGACCCCGGAGCCAATTTTCCAGCCAGCGGATCGTGGAGGACCCAAGGCGACAATTGGCCAGTTTCTCCAAGAGGCGATCATGGGACACCAGATCGAAGGCTTTTTTGAAGTCAAGATATATGACATCAATCTCTTCTCCCTTGTCCAGGTGATAGGTCACCTGGTCGTAGAAGGAAATGAGATTGGTCAAGCAAGACCTACCCGCAACAAACCCGTGCTGGCTATCCCTTAAGATGTTGGCGTCGGCCAGTCCATTAAGGATGGCCTCTTTAATAAACTTTTCTAAGATCTTCCCCGGGATAGAAGTCAGGCTGATGGGCCTATAGTTAGCCGGATCCACTTTCCTCCCTTTCTTGAAGATAGGCACCACATTGGCCTTCTTCCAGTCTTCGGGCACTACACCAGAGCGCCAAGAGTTTTCAAAGATCCGTGCTAGAGGCTGGGCTATGATGCTCGCCCGCTCCTTGAGTACCCTGGGGTGAAGATTGTCAGGGCCAGCTGACTTGAAGGTATCCAGCTTCTCAAGATGTTCCTTCAGAAAGTCAGCATTAATGGAGGGCAGGGGATCACCCTCACCCGGCCTTCCCGGCCCTGTAGCGGGCATGGGCGTCCCGTGGGGCTGATGAAAGACTGACGCAAAGTACCTATTTAATAGGTTGGCTTTTTCCTGGGCGTCAGTTGTCAGTTGCCCCATCTGGCTCAGCAGGGGTCCAATGTTGCCTCTGCTTTTCCTCCGGCTCCCCACATATCTGAAAAAGGACTTCTTATTGTCCTTGATGCTCAAAGCTAGCTGGAGTTCAGTTGCAGCCTTGGCTTTCCTGGTCTGCTCCCTACAGGACCGGACCAGTGCAGAATAATCCTCCTTGGAGGTGACTCCCATCCTCCATCCTTTGTAGGCCTTTCTTTTTAGCCTCAGGAGATCTGCTAGGTCCCTGGAGAGCCAGGGGGGCTGCTGTGCCCTCTTGCTGCCTTTCCTCTGAGATGGAATAGACTTAGTTTGTGCACTGAGGATCGCTCCCTTGAGGAGCAACCACTCCTCTTGAACTCCCCTCTCCCTGTGGTCACGGTCCCTTAGGGCCTCACTGACAAGCCTCCTGAGCTTGTCAAAGTCAGCTTTCCTGAAGTCAAAGACTTGCGCGTTGCTGACCGACTTGCCAGCTTTTCGGTGGATGGTGAAGGTGATCAGCTCGTGGTCGCTGTCACCCAGCTTCCCATCGATCACTAGGTCGCCGACCAGGTCATCCCCAGTAGCCAGTACCAGGTCGAGCAGCGCTTTGCCTCTCGTTGGCCCATAGACTTCTTGAGTCAGGTAGAGGTCATCCACGCACGAGAGGAAGCTCTGCGACCACTCAGATTTTGCTGAGCGATCCTCCCACGAGATGTCCGGGTAATTGAAGTCACCCATGACAACCATGGTCCTGGAGCAAGCTGCCTCAGCCAGTTCCTGGGCAAACTCCTGGTCAAGCTCAGGACTTTGAGTGGGAGGTCTGTAATAGACTCCCACCATTGTGTCCCTTGTGCTGTGGTGTCATTGTTTCTACATCTCAACATAATCTTTCTTCTATTTACCTTAACCATCTTCCTGGGAGTTATGAGATTCCTGTAATGCTTACAAAAAGTTTTAAACGATACTCTGTTTAGCCAAAACTGCTCTACAGACCAATTTTTTTATCTGTATTCTGATAACCCTCATGGTGAATTACATGCTGTACACAGAAAGGCAGCCGACTTCCTGAGTAGCTTCCAATTTAAGATGGCAAGTAGTATACATAAGGCAGTATAAAAGGATAGCTGTCATAATATTGTGTACTTGCACATGTGTACAAACCCTTTCTATGTCACTGGTATTAACTCACAAATTTCAGATTGTCTTTGTAGTATTCTAAGTGTTTTAAGTAGGAGTTGAAGAATCAGTTGAGAAAGAAATAGATAAAATCCTATGGAGTGTGTGTGGGGAACAAAACAGTTGTGGAAAAAAGACAAAGGAGAGTCAAAGCTGGAATAGTGGACAGTTATCACGAAAAAAGACAGAAGCAGATACGTAGGAAAATGCAGAGATACAAAAGGACTTGAAGAAGAGGACAAAAGGAGAAAGAAGGAGCCGGTGAAGGGATTGAAAAAGTAAGACATAATCGGTACAAGGTGGCAAAAGATGACTGTAGCTTCAGTGTGCAAAATATTATAGAGAAGGCAAGATGGGTGACAAAAAGGGCACCACGTTAAATAATACAGAAGGAAAATACCCCCCCTAAGACCAAAGTGCATTAAAGCTTTTCTTGATGCTACCCAGAGACACAAATTATGACTTACAAAAGTTACTGCTGTGGAAAACACCAGAAATAACTTACTATAATTTGTGTTCAAGGGTAGAAAGGACCTAACCATGGTTCTGCCAATGAACTTTTGACCCCCTGGTATTTATTTCTAGTGTCAAAATTAGACATTTTATAAAAGGACTAAAAATGTACTTTTAAGATGTTAAGCTGACTTTTTATTACAAAATGCAAATTTATTACAAAATGTTAAGCTGATTAGCTTCCAGATATGAAAGCAGGAGAGCACAAAGCAAATATGTATATAAATTCAAATAGCTGAGGAAGATTGCTCTGACACTTGAATTGTCAGAGTCCTATCCAGCAGAGTAGAAAGGTAGTCAGGCACCGTAAAGATTAAACATACTGTAGATTTTTATATGATCAGCCATTTTATTTTCATTTTAGATTAAAATCCCTCACAACGTTAAAAAAACAGACACATCCTAGCAAAATATATTTTACATAATGGCATCAACTGTTTATATTCTTCTTGAATCCACATCCTATCTTCAGGTTATGTAATTAAAGTTTTGTTCTTTGATAACCATAGAATACAGCAAGAAAATAATTTATAAAAACAAAAATCCCCTACTGGTGAACAGTAATTAGAAAGAATGAAGAAATTA